TGGCCTCCCGGCCAGCAGGCACTTTTATCTCCATGGTCTAAGCCAGTGGTCGGCAAACTCATTAGTCAACAGAGCCAAATGTCAACAGTACAACAATTGAAATTTCTTTTGAGAGCCAAATGTTTTAAACTTAAACTATATAGGTAGGTACATTGTTATTAACTTAATTAGGGTACTCCTACGGCTTAGGAAGAGCCACACTCAAGGGGCCAAAGAGCCGCATGTGGCTCGCAAGCCGCAGAAGACCTGGGTCACAGTGGAAGACTCTTGAGATTCCCAGGCTTCTAGGCTACTGGTTCCTTCCTTTTGACCAATATCAAAATAGGAAGGGATGGCCTCCCTCCACCCTCACCCCTCCGTGACTGTCACCCCAGCCCCAGCCTCATGCTCCGTATCTGAGAGGCAGAAAGGTGGGTACAAGCAGATCTCTGGAGCCAGATGACCTGCACCCTAGCCCTGCTCTGCGCCTGGCCTGGGGGGGTGGGGGGGGGCCTCTGCCTCTGGCAATCGCCTGGCCTCCCCTTGCCTCTCGGTGGGGATACTAACAGCTCTCACCTGGTGGGGGTGAGGACAGGATGAGTTCGTTTGTGTAAAACACTCAGAGCCTGGCACACAGTAGGGCTGCACAGTGTTGGGTATCACTGTGGCTGTCGCATAGTGTATCCAACACACATGGAAAAATGCTTCCCTTTGGTGATCCTGGCCAGAGACTGTGCTGCTCCGTTTTAGCTGAGGGAGCGTCACGAGAGGATTCGGGGTCTGAATCAGACCCGTGCCGCCATCAGTCTCCCTGTGAAAGAGGACCACCCGGAACCTCCTGGAAAAAAACGCCGCCTTCCCGACTGAAGTGATTCCCACGAAACCACAGCTGGGAGCACAACTGGCTGAGATTTCCATTCACCACAAACTCCGTCTCCACTCGCCTTCTCCAGATGCCACATCGATCACATCATGTCACCGTCATCACCCTGTCCCCAGGCCGCCCCGAGACTCTGGGGGCAGGAAGGGAAAATGAGGTTCGGAGCCAGGTCGCTGCCCTGCGGTCTCGGGTTGCTCCTCACCCCGTTGCCCCGCCGTGCCCAGCTCCCTGCCCTCTGGGCTGGGGTCTTGTGGGGACGGTGGCGCCAGGACCCGCCCCCCAAGCATGCTAGTGAAACTGGCTGACGTGGGGCGCTGCTCCCACACTTCCTCTCCTGGGTTAGAAACCCAAAGCGCCCGTTTGCAGAGCCAGGAGGAGCTCTGCCCGCCTCCCTGATTGTAATTAGGACGAAGCATCCCGCAAGACTCGGGGGTTCTGTTGTTCTGAACGCAGACCGAATGTGTTTGGGTGGCCGGGCCTGATCGTCCTGGCAGAGGACGGTATGCCACAGGCGGAGGGGGACCATTTCCGTGGCCGTGCAGCAGCCGTCCGCTCCAGAAGACCCACATGCCTCAGGGTGAAAAGTGATTCGATTAAGAACATGAGCGCACAACTCAAATTCTCAAAGCCTCGATGAGCAACATGCTTTCTGTCGGCCACATGCTATGGATGCCTAAATAGAGAGCAGCCCCCACATAAGCCAATCGCCCACTCCCCTAATTGAGGTGAACTGAACAAACGTTTTTGGCCAACTTCATAGAAATCAAAACTGTGCTGGCCTTTCAAGTGGGGCGTGGGAATTGACTTTGGAAAGGGGCCAGAGGGAACTTTCTGGAGTGATGGACATGTCCTCTAGCTTCATGGTGGTGGTAGTTATGTGAGTGATTTCAGTTGTCAAAATTCATCAAACGGAACCCTTGAGATGTAGTTGGTTGAGCATCGTCCTGTGCACCAAAAGGTTGCCAGTTCGATTCCTGGTCAGGGCATATGCCTGGGTTGCAGTTTGGATCCCTGGTCAGAGCACATTCGGAAGGCAGCCCGCCTCTCTCTCTCTCTCTCTCTCTCTCTCTCTCCCCCCCCCCTCTCCCTCCCTCTCTCTCTCTCTCTCTGTAAGCATGTCCTCAGGTGAGGATTAGAAAAAATAATTCTTTTAAAGATCAGTGCACTTTCGTGGATGTATGTTTTACCTCAATAAAAAGTTATAATAATGAATTCAATAATACCTACTTAATAATATTTAACTTAATCAGGTAGGTGCATACAGTAGTCCCTCCTGATCTGTGGTTTCGCTTTCCACAGTTTTAGTTACCCACATGGTCAACCATGACCCAAAAATATTAAATGGAAAAATTCAGAAATAAACAATTTATGAATTTTAAATTGCACACCGTTCTGAATAGTGTGATAAAATCTTGAGCCATCCAGCTCCATTCCACCCGGGACATGAATCATCCCTTTGCCTCGAGTATCCACGCTGCCTTTGTCACCTGCCTGTTAGTCACTAGTAGCCATCTTGGTTATTAGACCGACTGTCCTGGTGTCGCAGTGCTGTGTTCAAGTCACCCTTATATAATAATGGCCCCAAAGCACAAGTGTAGTGATGCTGGCAATTCAGATGTGCCAAAGAAACGTCATAAAGTGCTTCCTTTAAGTGAAAGGTATGTATGTAAAGGGAAAAACATAGCATATGCAGGGTTCGGCACCGTCCACAGCCTCAGGCATCCCCGGGGGGTGTTTGGAACATACCCCCCATGGATAAAGAGGGACGGCTGTACTTAAAATTATATGTGAACTAGAGGCCCGGTGCATGAAATTCATGGGGGAGGTGGGGGCGTCCCTCAGCCCAGCCTGCACCCTCTCCAATCCAGGACCCCTCAGGGGATGTCCGACATCCCTCTCGCAAACCAGGACAGCTAGCTCCTAACCGCTCACCTGCCTGCCTCCCCTAATCACTCTGCCTGCCTGCCTGCCGGATCCCCCTAACTGCTCTCCCCTGCCAGCCTTATGGCCCCTAACCGCCTCTGCCTTGGCCCTGCCACCGTGACTTTGTCCAGAAGGACGTCTGGAAGACATCCAGTCTAATTAGCATATTACCCTTTTATTCGTATAAATAATATATATAATATATTACCCTGGCCAGTGTTGCTCAATGGTTAGAGTGTTTGACTGTGCACCCAAAGGTTGAAGATTCCATTCCCAATCAAGGGCACATACCCGGGTTGTAGGTTTGATTCCCAGCCCTGGTTGGGATGTGTGCAGGAGGCAGCCAGTTTCTGTGTTTCTCTCACATCGATGTTTTTCTCTCTCACATCAGTGTTTCTCTCTCTCTCTCTCTCTCTCTCTCTCACACACACACACACACACACACACACTTTCTCTAAAAAAAAATCAATGGGAAAAATATCCTCGGGTGAGAATTAAGAACAACAACAAAAAAGAGTAACATTAATTTATACCATCCTTCCCATTCACACATTTCACAAAATGATGTTATGTACATGTACATTTTTCAAGATCGGTGCCCATTACAAAGCCACTTTTTAGTTGACAGTTTTCCAGAGCCTGTCGTCTTCAGTCTGTCCAATTTATTTGAGATACAGAACATTTTGGATCCATGTTTAGTGCTGAAATTTCACGGAAAGACACCCCCATTTGTATAACGTTACAGCACTTGTGTTCCTTGTTCGTCTGGTAAGTTATCACGATCCGCACTACATAAGCCACTTGTGTTGTGCTTTCTGAAATGAGCTTTCCAATACTTATCACAACTTACAACAGTTGCACCCCAGGAATAATCACCGATTATGTATTAAATCTCATTGCTTCCTTCCCATTAATTCCCCTCCAGTGACTTCTGAAAGCCTCCAAAACCAACTGATTAAAATATTTCAGGCCAGTGTATCTTCCCAGGTTTTGTGGTTCAAATAAAGTAATTGAGAAAATACCAAATTATGAGATACTTTCAAAGAATAATAAGTCGTAAACTGTGAGATATTTGTAAAGGGAACACTCTTTCCTAATAATCCACTTGAGGAAATATATCTTCCCCTCATTTATGTTCAGGCCTATACTACAAAGTAAATCCTGGCATGTGTGTTCAGACCAAAGATAAAATAGAGATTAATTTAGCAAATTTGGGGGTCTTATTTTATAGTTCATTACTAAAGGATTAACATTGTTAGCTTACATTAGAAGTTTCTTTATGTAAACATTTTAAACTAACCCTACCATGAATGCGAAGTTGAAAAATTATTCAATAAATTCAAAGCAAACACTGTATCGTACTCCAGGGCATTCGAGATAAGAGAGTTTAAACAGATGCTTCTGGTTAGGGGTGGAATTGTAAACACAATCCTAAATTATGACTTGTTAATTATTAATTTTGCTACTTGGCCTTAAGCTTCCACCAGTGTGATATGATACTGCATAAAGACCTTGTTTTTTTCAGCAACTCCTCAACGTAGACATTAAAAATAACTTTGTTCTTAGAAAAATCAACATGGAAGAGGGTACACCGTTGTTTTGGGTTTCTATTGGTTTTCATGTTCTGTTGCTCAGCACCATTGCTGTTGCTGCCAGAGGCAAAATCAGGTGGCTGCAAGACACGAGAGGGTTGTATAGCACCCTAGGGTTTCCATAGAACACAGTTTGAAAACCTCTGGCGGTGGACTATATATAAAGGTTGGGTCTCAGAAGACCTGGGTTCAAAACCTGTATTTTGGATTCTGTGATTGTTGGCAAGTGACTTAACCCGAGTCTCATTCTCCTCCTCTGGACAAATAGCATGAGTGCTTATCTCTCGGAGTCGTACTAAAAGTGCTTGTAAATGTGCCTTGGAAACCATCAGGTGTAGGTCTGTTTTGTTCCTTAAGACGTTCTGTTTCCTAGGCACATCTCCTGTGCATGTTGAGTGCCATCTCCTCTCAATTATTTAAGGACTGAGACCCACACTTTCTGTTGTTTGGTCATGTTGATGCTGCGACCTCTGCCTCGCGGCTTTCCCCCCTTACTGTCCACTGGAGAATGGACCAGGGGGCAGGCTGGCTTTGGGCTTGGCTGCTCCCACCGCTACAGTAAGAGACTCCATGCTCACGATCCATTCTTGGGTCGGCCACACTGACAGACTTCTTTTCCTTTTCAGGTGGGCCAGGAGAAGGGAAACTGTTCCTTCCAAAAGAACCCGACCCCCTGCATCATCCCCCAGGAACAAGAAAATATCTTCCACACTATCTTTGCTTTCTTCACAAAGTCTGGAAGAAAAGTCTTGGTGAGAATTTGCTGTCTGGTTGGGTCCCCGTGGGTGGTCCTCCCTAGGAAGGCAAGCCTGAGATGAGAGGCCAGTGCTCTGGTTGGCATGTCTTCTCCCCCAAATCGGGCTTTAATCCGTTATCTTTGAAAGTCACAAGGACTGGTGGTCAGCTCCTGTTTTTCAGCCTGAGGTTTCCATTGAAGTGTTCAATTGACATTTCAAATGCCATTGCCCGGCAAAGAGGAAGCCTTTGCAACCCACCAAACTCAAAGTCATGAGTCTTTTCTCCACCGAGTAGGCGTCTCATGGAGAGAGATGCTCTGTGTACAACCACTTTGGAAAACTGCCGGGCAGTATCTGTTAAAGCTAAAGATATTTGTATCCTGTGACCCAGGAATTCCACTCCCAGGTAGATCCCCAAGAGAAATGAGTACTTGTGTCCCCCCAAAGACATGGATGAGAAGCACAGTCAATGTATGACAGCCAAAAGCTGGGAACAGTCCAAACATCCATCCACAGGAGAGTGTGTAGACGATTGTGGTGTCGCCATCCACGGGAGTATACAGAGCAGTAGAAACTGCTGCACACAGCAGCACCAATGACTCTCCTACACATGATACTTGGGTGGCAGAGCTGGAGACCAGAGGACCTATATGCCACTTACATGAAGTTTAGCAGGAGCAAAACTGTCAGTGGCGATGGAGGTCAGGAAAGTGGTTACTATCGGAGGAATAGCCATGGGAGGGGGCCCTAGAGAACCTGCTTACATGCTGGCCATGTTCTACATCTTGATCTGGGTATGAACAGAGGTAAAAATGTATCAGGATGGACCCTCCAGATGCAATCTGTTTGCTGTTTGTAAATTATACCCCCATTTCTTATGCTTTTCCAAAGTCCCCTTCCCCCATATTTTTGGTTCCATCTCCTTAGCTTCTTTTTGCAGCCTAGGCACATCTCATACGCATTTCCGTTCCTGTAGAAGATGTAGGGCTGATTGCCGCTTGGAATATTGGGGGTGTGTTTTTTTACTTACCTGGTGCTGATGATGCGTCTATTTTTTAAAGCGCTTAGAATTGTTAGGAGTAGTGATATCTAGCGGTTTGGTGCCACTCTGTACCCGGCTGAAAGTTTTACCCCCCACATAAAGCATCGTAAAGGTATGTGTGTACATTTTGGACCCTACAGTGCAAAAGAGAATTTCTCGTTTGTAACTTGCATTTGGAATATATAGGTTTTGGGGGTTTTTTTGTTTTTTTTGGTGGTTCACATATTGTCTTGGTCCAACATGTGTTTCTCTTTGCTCCTGTGTTTCCTTGAGTCAACTGACTCCTTAGCCCTCGAATCTGCCCTCCCTAAAAACATGGGCATGGACGTGTATTTGCCGCTGCACAGGCAGCTATTCCATAATGTAGGAAATACATCTTGTGTTCATTTCTCATAAGGAAAATGCTTTTGGAATATGTAAATGTGTTTGTTTTTAAAAACAATTATTCCTTTCTCACAAAATCCAATTTTTTAGTAACCAGGGAGCTGCTTTCTCCCAGTTGCTTGACTTGAAGGCCTGTTCTGGTGCCCACCGGGCAGGAAATCCCTCCATTGCCCTCTGGTGGCAAGAAGGAGTGATCGCATCTTCCCCTGCAGTTCCTCTGCCTGGAGTGGTCTTAGTCACCGGGATAGAAGCAGGTGGAGCCTTCTGCTCCCCAAACTGCCGGGCAGCTGTCTTTGCTCTTACTACCGTTGGTCAGCCCTCTGCTTTTCCTTCTCAGGACTGTGAAAAACCAGGAATCACTTGCCTAACAATGCACTGTAACCTGAGCGCCCTTGCTAGAGAAGAAAGCCGTGCTATCGACATCTACATGCTGCTGAACACAGAGATATTGAAGAAGGTAAGTGTCCTGAGCCACTGCACCCACGGGGTTCACTGAAGAGCATCCAGATGGGTTTCTCCTGAAACGCTGCCTGCCCCTTCTGCAGCGTTCTTGGCCGGCGCCCGTGGGAATTCTGCCGGAGGGTGCCAGGGGAAAAGACGGGGCTCACTATTCAAAGTGTGGGCCAAGGGTCCGCAACAGCACCTCCCCTGGGAGCTGGTTAGCCATGCAGAATCTTGCGCTCCACCCCACACCTGCTGAGTCAGCACCTTCATTTTAACAAGCTTCTTGGTTCGCACATTTTTCTCTGCCTGTCGCTTGTGTCTGAATCACCTGGAGACCTCGTTAAAATGCAGATTCCTGGGGGTGAAGCCTGAGATGCTGTAGTTCCGACAAGTTCCCCGGTGATGCCAATACTGTGGGTCTGGGGACCACATTTTAGACAAGGGGTTGGCACACTTTCTCTGTAAAGGACCAATCTACATATATAAAAAGCCAGCAACCAGAACATCGGAACGGCCAGTCGCTATGACACCCACTGCAACCAGCCAACCAGCCCAATCAGGGGTGCGGCCGGCCGGCCAACCTCCCACAGCCCCTCCCCCCAGCCAGCTCCGCCCCCAATCAGCCCCCCAATCACAATTGGGGGCCAGGCTGGCTGGCCAACTTCCCGTGGCCCCTCTCCCCGGCTGGCCCACCCTCAATCAGCCCCTCCCACCCCGATCAGCCTGTGGCTTCTCCCCCAGCCCCTGATCAGCCCCCATCGGGGCAGGCTGGCCGGACCCCACCTGTGCACAAATTCGTGCACCAGGCCTCTAGTAGTAAATATTTGAGACCTGCAGGGCCATACAGTCTTTGGCTACTGCTCATCTCTGCCATTGTGTCGTGAAAGCAGCCATAGGCGGTGCTCAATCAAATGGGTGTGGCTGGGGCCCAGTGAAGCATCTACAAAAACAGGCAGAGGGCGGGGTTTGACCCGTGGGTGGTAGTCTGTGAGCCGGGTTTAGATGCCACCTTGTTTCAGAGAAGTCCAACTTTTGAACCTCAAGTCACTTTGCTATTGTGAGTTTATCCAAAGTGGTTCATAGCCCGGCCAGTGTGGTTCAGTGATTGACCGTCGACCTATGAACCATGGGGTCATGGTTCAATTGCATGGGTTGTGGGTTCGATCCCCACTGGGGGGCATGCAGGAGGCAGCCAATCAATGATTCTCTCTCATCCCTGATGTTACTCTCTCTCTTTCCCTCTCCCTTCCTCTCTGAAATCAATACAAATATATAGTTTCTAAGTTCATTAAAAAAAATACCTCAGTCAGTGAATCAGCAGCCCTTAAAAAATCATACAAATTCACTCTGATTTATTTTGACAGAGGAGCTGCTGAGTACGAGAGGCCACATCCAACAAGATGCTTTAAAAATAATCACATGCGAAGATAACACTAAATATGCATGTTAACCACAGAGCGTCTATTTATTTTCCTTTGGAAAAACTAGACGTGTCATTTGGCGTAAGCCCGTCCGTGTGCGAATGAACGTCCTTAGGAAAGTCATTCCAGGGGTGTTTTCTCACTTAGGCATGGCAGTCCCACGCTGACCCGAGAAGTCACAGGCCCTGGGAAGTCAGGATGTTTCCCCGCGTCCTGTGTGGAGCCGGGCAGCCCTCACACACCCAGGGAAAGCCACCCACAGTCCCACTTGCTCTGGTTTCCTCGGGAGGGAAACGGGTTTGGGGTACATTGGGGTCACACAGTAGAGCTTCCCTGTTGCCCCTGTCCCCTGAAAAGGGGCAGAGTTGCGAGAGGCCCGGGCATGAGTTAGAGCACCCCTGGCATCGCGTGATCCCAGAAGGGGGTCTGGAAGCCCCGCATCACTGCAGGTGCCGCCCTGGCCTGGGGCCCCCGGTCAGGTGACAGACTATGATGGTAGAGACATACCCAGCCTGTCTGTGTTCTTGACAAATGGGCCTGGTGACTATTTTATTCCCCAATGTCGACTGAGCCCTGGTGTTGGCACTGGTGGCGGGAAACCACTCCGATCCCCCCTTCACCCTGAACCCTGGCGGCTGCCCCTTGCACTTCGGTCATTTGTCCTTAACCTACAGTCCAGGACTCCAGCCTTCCTTGTACCCAGCTCTGCCGCCTGACCCTCTGCATCTCCCTCTCTCTCCGGGATCCGTGGAGACCCTTTGCCAAGCAACATGTCCCACTGACTCTGTCCCCCAGGGTCACCCAGTCCAGTCTGCGCCCTAAGGGCAGAAAGCCAGCGGCTGACTTCTGCGGGTGCTGGAGGGTCATCCTCCCTGCAGATGCTTTTTCCGCAGCAATTCCAGGCCTAGAAGGAGGCTGACCTGGAGGCCAGATGGGGCCCAGCTGCTCCAGGTGCTTGAAATGCAGTGTCGGGGCCACAGCCCGCCCCCCTTGGGAGAGGAGCGGGAGTGGCTCCAGAAGCCCCCCACTTCCTGAGGATATGGGGCGGCGCCAGCCCTGTGGTTCGCCTGGGCCTCCAGTGTGTTTATTTTCCTTTGACCTCAAGGTCTGGCCCCAGACAAGGGAATTTGAGGTTTTATTGTTTTGACCTTAAGTTTTCATGTGAAATGTGGGATCTGATTTTTTTAATTACCAGAGGACTTAGATTCCTTTGAAAGGGTTCTTCTCCCACAGCCACCAAGGCCTATGCTGGGGCAGCTTCCTCACAGCTCAGCCTCTAACCCAACAGTGAGCCTCCTTATTATGGTTATTGTTATGGTCATGGTTAGTACCTGAGATGATGGTGATAATTATTATTATCCCAGATTGAAAATGCGATCTGGCCCTTTCCTAAGCCATATTTTGCCAACCCGTCTTTTTCCAAATTCCTTCTCCATCCCTGCCTGGGAGCCGTGTTCTGCTTTTCTGGGTCAGTGGCTCTGACTCTGAGCCTACCCGGGCCCCTGTCTCTTTGGTCCACAGCCTAACGTATTAGCCCGATGTTTCCTGCTTCCTCATGTCTTTCCATGTTTAATGGCTTTGAACCCAAAATATCTTCATTTAGGAGCAAAGAAAGAGTTAAAAGTAACTCCTGGAAAGGGTTGGAGGGTTGTGGTCAGGGCAGGAAGATGCTTGCGAATGTAAATCAGATGCCTGCTGTGGAATGCCAGGCCTGGGTTTGTTTTACACAATTTAAGCTGTATTTATTCTCTGCTCTTTGTGACTACGTCCATATCAATACCCAAATGCCTGGCTCTTTGCGCTCGGAAACCACAGCACACAAGCTAGCAATGTGCTGGTGGTGGGCAGACTCGTTCGTTTTTCCGCATCCTCCGGGATATGAAAGAATTCTCCAGGGAGCCTGGAGATCTCTGCCTCGGGGGTGCCTGGGATGGGGAGGTATCTGATTCAGGGATACAGTTTTTGTCCGGTCCACAGGGAATCTGGCATTTCGGTTCTGCCTGGTCCCCAGCCATGGTCACTGGCAGATCTGACGGTGAGTTGTGCTGTTCCCTCTGCAGGACAGTTCGTCTGTCATCCAGTTCATGACCCGGGCCAAGGTGAAAGTGGACCCTGCCCTGAGGGTGGTGGAGATCGCCACCGGGAACCCAGAGGAGATGATGGTGAGTCAGCCCCTCCTCCCCCCGACCACCGCCACCCACTGGGGCCGCCCTCCTCGGAGGGTGAGGGAATCTGGGTGACTTGGGGCTGGAATTTGAGGGTAAACATGGTCTCTGAGCCAAGAGGCTGGCTTTGTGGTAGGCCCAGGACCATGCCTGCCTCGGCTCCCGGCCCCCCGGGGAGGACTTTGCGGCCTGCTCTTGTCGGGATCGCATTGTTCTTTAGGAATCCATCCTGAAGTGAAGGCTCCCTCCTGTGACCCGCCAAAGGAAAGAGTCTGGAAGGACCCGTGACAGGGCTTGGGTTTCCACGCTGAAGCCAAGGCTATTTTTATCCTCCGCAGACCTTTCCCTGCAACCTCAGCTGCCTCCCCCATGAATTTGCTCCATGGATAAGCCCTGAAGGAAAACAAGTCCGAGTAACTCAGAGAGGACGCATCCAAATCGCCAAGCCTAGAGCCTTCCCTCTCATTCCCACCTCCCCCTGGTTCTCCATAAAAGGCAGTTGGCTCGCAGGCCACCAGGACGCTGGGTAGGGGAGAGGCTGGAGGAGAAGCCTGGCCTTGGCTTTTTGCTGCCTTTTCCTGGGGCGGGGAGGGGAGGCTCACCCTTTGACACCCACACTCAGCTCCCAGGCACCTGGGAAGGGGAGACAGCAGCCTGTGAACTGGTTTTGCCAATGAGCCGGGTGAGGATGCCACCTTTTTGCATCTCCTTCCCTGGAATTTGCCTTATCTCAAGGGAGACTTGACCCTCTGACCCTCTCTTGGAAGAGTCAGTGCTGCTGGGACAAATGTACAGAAGTGGTATGTTCATAAAGATTTTTTATTTACAAAAACAAAAACAAAAAAAGGCCCTAGCCGGTTTGGCTCAGTGAATAGAGCATCAGCCTGAGGACTGAAGGGTCCCGGGTTCGATTCCAGTCAAGGGCATGTACCTTGGTTGCAGGCTCGATCCTCAGCCCTGGTCAGGATGCATATGGGAGATAGCCAATCAATGCATTTCTCTCACATCCATGTTTCTCTCTATCTTTCCCCCTCTCTTCCACTCTCTCTCAAAATCAATGGAAAAATATGGTCGTGCGAGATTGTTAACTTATTTTCTGATAACAGTGGAGACACCACATGTCTAAATATTAGGATGGGATTGGGCCAAAGCCCATCCTATAAGACCCTGGTTGGAAAAGGTCCAAGTAGAAATCAGTCTCCAGGGACCTCAGTGACGTCTCAGTCCTGCTGCCGGTGGTGGTGAGCGGGAGACAGGCCACCAGCTGGGACAGAAGGACTTCCGTGTGAACCTGTGGATGGTGAGGAAGTCAAAGCTGCCCAGGACCTGGCGGATCCGGGCTCAGCGGGGAAGGCCTGTCAGATGTGCAGCTTTCCTCCTCTCCACACTGGGGAACCGTCCATGCAGTCGTTTAACTAATAGAAAGCAAATGGGATGGGGTGGGGTCACACTGGAACCCTTCACTGCCAACAGCCCTTTTCCTGGCAGGTGCAATCTGTCAGGTTGGCTGGGGCCTTTTGCTCTCTGCATTTGGGCCACGTCACTGCTAATTCAGACATTTTCCCGGGATGTGAAGGAGAAGGGTGACTCACTGCTCATGGTCATAGCACTGGTTAGAGTCTTATAGAATGACATACACGCCCAACACGAGGGCCTTGGAATGCTGTGGTGGGCCACAGTGTTCCCAGCCAAGAGCTCATGGAAGCGCCCTGGCCGGGGCACTCAGTTGGTTAGAGCATCCCCCAGATATGCCAAGGGTGCAGGTTCGATCCCTGGTCGGGGCACATAAAGAATCAACCAATGAACGTGTAAATAAGTGGAACAACGAATTGATGTTCTCTCTTTCTCTCATTTCCTTTCTCTCTCTCTCTCTTAAAAAAAAATCAATAAAATTTTTGTAAAGAGCAAATGGAAGTAATTAACAGGTTCCCTACAGGTGGAATCCCTTGTGTAGATTTTTTTTTTTTTAATCTGTCACTGGGAACAGGGCCCTCGATTTTCTGGAACACTGAGCAGTGTGTGGGATGCAGGAAGACATTGCTGAACATCCTATTGTTGGGTAGTGAGTCATCTGAACACCCCCAAAACACCACTTCCATTCCTTACTGTTCCATTGCGAGCGTGGGGGTGATACTTTCACTATTGAGAGTTCTTTGGAAGAAGCTGTCAATGCAACTGATTTTTGCAGTACTCCCAAGAAAAAAAGTAGCACCAGCGTCGCCCACAGTGCCTGCCCCCTTCTTCCGCCTTTCCCGGACTTGGCCTTTTTCAATCCAGGAGCTCCGGTGAAGTTCTACCATCTGTTCTCAGCTTTCCTGGCAGGAAAAAGAAAAAATCTTCTCTGAAAAGGAAGGTTTGCCTTTTTAGAACAAACTCGTTCTTTCCTGTGTGATCCTTCCGAATGCCTGGCTCTTTGTCGGTCGTCCCTCTGAGGGGAAATTTCCATAGAGGGCAGCCACCAAATTTCAATCAGGCAAAAATGTCACAGGATTTTAGATTAGGCCCCAAATTGTTATGGCTTTGGAATGAACAGGAAATGTGCTTGCAGCTCGTCTCGAGCGGGGTGGGGGTGAGAAGAGGAAACAATCGTGTGGGTTTTCATTTATCTTTATTATAGAAAGTATTACAGATGTCCCCCCTTCTTTTCCCATTGACCCCCCTCCACCCTGCACCTGCCCCTCCCAGGCCTTCACCACACTATTGTCTGTGTCCAGGGGCTATGCACATATGCATAGAAGTTTCCCGGTTAACCTCTCCCCACCCACCCTCCACTCCCACCTTCCCTCTGAGATTCAGCAGTCTGTTCCATGCTTCTATGTCTCCGGATCTATTTTGTTCCTCAGTTTATTTTGTTCATTAGATTTCACATAACAATCAGCTTTTTAATCACCTCAGGTCTACATGGTGGTCAGCTTAGCTGATAGGGAAATCCAGTGACTTCCCTGTGACCTCTTGTGTCTTTTCTTGTTATGCCATGGAATGAGTCACGCAATACAGAGCATGTAGGTCTTGAGGCATTTGCGCTGTTTATTAAGAAACTAGAGGCCCGGTGCACGAAATTCGTGTATGGGGAGGGTGTGTGTTCCTCAGCCCAGCCTGCACCCTCTCCAATCTGGGACCCCTGGAGGGATGTCCGACCACCCACACTATACGGGAAGTCGGACATCTCTCCCACAATCCAGGATTGCTGGCGCCCAACTGCTCACCTGCCTGCCTACCTGATTGCTCCTAACCGCTTCTGCCTGTCAGCCTGATCACCCCCTAACCACTCCCCTGCCAGTCTGATCGACACCTAACTGTTCCCCTGCTGGCTCGATTGCCCCTAACTGCCCTCCACTGCATGGCTGGTCCCCCCCCCCCCAACTGCCTTCCCCTGCAGACCTGGTCGCTCCCATCTGCCCTCCCCTGCAGGCCTGGTCCCCCCCTCTCCAACTGCCCTCCCCTGTTGGCCATCTTGTGTCCACATGGGGGCAGCCATCTTGTGTGTTGGAGTGATGGTCAATTTGCATATTACCTCTTTATTATATAGGATAGATCTGGGAATTAGCATGTGTCCGAGACCAACCACACCAAGCTTACTTGGCTTTGTATAGATCCAAACCTGAGAGTCCCAGGTGAGACCTGGGGAGCAGCATTAGATGCCAATAATATGTTGAATTTCCTAGTCAACCCGACCTTCTTCATTTCGGGGAGAGTTGCCAACAACTGAGGTTAGAAACTTCCCCAGGCGAGCCAGGAATCTCCAGGCTCCGTTCTGCTACTGCGAGCACCACCCACACTTTCTTCTCAAGCCGGATGAGGAGCTTCTATGAATTACCTCGCAATTCCATCTTCTTGATATTTTAAAATGGCAGAATGTACGAGAAACACATAAACCCACGAGAAAGTAAGTCCTTGGCACATGGAGTTTGTGCATAGGGTGAGGTCTTAGGTGCAAGAAGGCGGCCAGGCCGGCTCTGTCTCATTTGGGCAGAACCAGAGGGATGAGAAGGATACCTGGTGGCTCTCAGAATTGCCAGGGAGGCTGGAGAACCAGAACGGGGTATAAGAGGAGTCAAAAAACCAGGGGGCCAGGACCATGGGCTCAGTGAGGCCACAGGAAGAGCCTGGCCCATGCCCTGGACACAGCCGTCCCTGGGTTCTTGTCCCCAGGGAGAGCCGGTCACTGGCATTTCTGGCTATTGTAGCATAGCCTCGCCCTGAGACACACAGAGGAGGAGGCCCCAGCACTATACGTGGGTTCAGCACGAGGCTGCTGAAAAGTGACAGCTGTCCTTCCCACGTGCTTCTCCAATACCGAGGGTCGGTATCTGGCCAGCCAACCCCGGCTCTTCTTAGGGGTCCCATCTGAGCTAGAGCCCTTGTTCACCATCTCCACCACTGCATTGGCACTAACCTTGGGGCAAGCTGCATCATCTTGATGCAAAGCCCTTGCCTGGTGCGCACCAGGTAGTATTAGGTCTCATTGCACACAAAGATGGCAAGGACAGGATGGGCCATTTGACAGAATTCTCTCCCGTCACTCTCACGTCATCCCTGTGAACCAGGCATTACTGCTCCCATTTTCTCTTGGGGAAACTGAGGCTCCAGGAGGCGGGGAGACTACCAGCCAGAGGTGCCACAGCATATCAGTGGAAGAGCCAGCCCTGCCCGTTTGCAAGGCCCGAGGCTTCTTTGATCCCTCGTCCCTCTGATCCCGCCGTCCCGTTGCCCCATCGCCCCGCGCCCACACACAGCGAGAGCCATTCTGAGCAGGAGGTCAGCATCACGGTCTTGGGTGGAAGACAGCTGGCCCTTTGTCTCGGGAGCGCCCTTGGCTCTCGTAGCCTCAGAAGCACATCATGTTCAGACTGAGATGCCTGTTGATTCTGGAACTCGTCCCTTTGTGGCCAGGTCCCCACGCAGATGCAACCTACTCATCAAGGGGAGAATTGGGGCTCCTCCAGGGCCCTGGGCAGCCTGAGGTCAAGGAGGGAAACTCTCCTCCTCCCTTTCAA